AATTCGCCTTTGCCAAGGGTGTGTTTATGGGATGCTGGGAGAGTTGACAAGTTAAATGATGTATTATGTTGTCAGGTTTTTCAATAAAGTTATTTCATTTTGTTTGTCTTTTAATTGGGGTGTCAGAATAAAGTGTTATTTGGTTAAAACCAAGTAGTTTGACCAATCGAATCACAGCTGGATCACTGTACCTTACACTTGCCTTTAAATAAGATAAGAGTTAGGGTCTGAGCTATCTCCTCATTGGTTTTAAGGGGTTTGGTCTGGTCCGTAGGAAGAGCGAGGAGGTGAGCCCTTCAGGGTAAACTTCAGACTGTGCAGGAATTGAACCCACTTTGTTGCCGTCTCTCCACATTGCCAAAGTATCTGAACTAACCTTGGCTGCAGTTCCTTGAGGTGAAAGTGGAGATCAGTGTGAGGTGATGTACTTGGGCAGGACAAATTAGGCAAGGGAATGCGCAGTGGACACTCGGATTCTGGGAAGCACTGAGGATAAGAGGGACCTTGCTGTCCATGTCCACAGTCCCTGAGGTATCAGACCATGTGGATAAGAAGGTGTAAGGGGATATTTGCCTGTATTAGCTAAGAGTTTAAGAACAGGGAGGGGTTCATTGAATGTCAAGGAGGCGATGGTTACATTCTCTCTCAATGGGGATGGTCATTGCCTGGCATTGGTGTCGCACGAACAGACCAGCCTGAGACTGGGTGTGAACACAGAGTGACATCTTACCTCTTTCTTTGCAGGTCACCCCAGCATCTTCGTTGTGGTTGCAGTTTTGTTTTCCCCAACCTGAGAACTGGCAGGAGGACAGTTGGAGCTCCGTACCCCGACACTGGACTTCGTCCATCCAGATCTTTCCAGTGCCAACAGGGTAATACCCACCCCTGTGCCCCGTGATGGCAGGACCACACCGAACCTGGTAACATACTACCCTGGCGTCTTTAATGCCCCAGCTGTCGTCGCACACGGTGCCCCACTCTCCTGAGTGATAGACCTCCACTCTCCCAGAGCATGGGCTTGGGCCATCAATCAGCCGCACTGGAACGAGAATGGGATGGGGGTGAGGGCAAAGGGGCAAAAACATTGGCTTCTCTCTCTGTCTCTGTCTCTCTGTCTCCCTCTCTCTGTCTCTCTAACCCTATCTCTCTCTATCTCTCTGTGTCTGTCTGTCTGTCTCTCTCTCTATCTCCCTATCTCTCAACCTCTGTCGATTGCTCTCTCACACACTCTGTCCCCCTCCTTCTTTCTCTTCTTCTTCTCCCTCTCCCCTCCCTCTCTCTCTCTCCTCCACCCCTTCTCTATCTCTTTCTCTATGCCTGGCTCTCCCTCCGCCCACCTCTCTCCCCCTTTCCACTCTCCGCTTCTCTCTTCTTCCGTCTTGCACTCTTTCTCAGCCCTTCTCTCCCTCTCTCTCTTCTTTCTCCAGCTTATTTTGTGTCTATCTCTCTCACACACTCGGTTCTCATCCTCCCCACTCCCTTTCTCACCATCTCTCCCTCCATCTCTGTCTCATTGTCTCTCTTCCACTCTCTGTCTATATCTCTCTCTCCCTCCCTGTGTCTATATATCTCTTTCTCTCACTCTGTCCCTTTCTATCTCTCTCTCACCACCTCTCTCTCTGTCTATCTCTTTCTCTCTCTGTCTCTGTTTCTTCCTCTGTCACCCCCCTTTCTCTCCCTCTGTCTCTCTGTACCTTTTTCCCATCACTCTCTTTCTCTCCCTCTTTCTCTCTCCCTCCCCCCTTCTCTGTCTGTCTCTCCCTCTCTCTCTCACACACACACACACACACATAACCCTCTCTCTCTCCCCCTTCTCACTCTCTCGTCCTCTCCCTCCCCCTCTCTCTCCCTGTCTACCCTCTCCCCCTCTCACTGTCTCCACGAGAGGACAATGGGGTCGGAGGGTGAGCTGGGAAGAACAGTGCAGAGATAGGATTGCATGTGATTTGGACAGGCTGAGTGAGTGGGCAGATGCAAGACAGATACAGTTTAATGCGGATCAGCGTGATGTTATCCACGTTGGGAGCAAAAAGCTGGATTATTATTGGGTGGCGATGTATCGTGAACGGG